TTCTGACGAGGGTACAAATTCACTCCAGCAAAAAAGCTAGCGGAGATCATATTTTCTTATAAGCGAATGTCTAGAGGTTGACTTTGACTCCAGTTACTTAAGAATACTCACTCTTGAAACAATTCCCGAATATTGGACAATCCTGGACCTGCTTTAAAAGAATATTCAAGAATTGAGCCCCTATTTATTGATGATAAGAAAGGCTTCTGGAAATCATAACACCTGACTTATCCAAAGATCACCCATATACCTCCACCACTGCTAAAACCAGAAAGTTAAACAAAGGGAGAAAGCCCCAAAACAAAACAAAATATCCTCCCAGCAGTCAAAAATCAATGTCACGAGACCGAAATTTTTGAGTGAGCCACCAGGGCCAAAACCGCTTACAGCATCTCTTGCGGTGTACACATACTTCCAACAAGCTCGGGCGTATGATTTTCCAGCACGCTGTAAATTAAGCAGCAAATTAGAAGGGGGAGAAGTTACTAGCATAAGCAACATGGGAACAGCAAAATGTGATGAGCTGCAAGTCAAGGAAAAGAATAACTACTATCAAAAATGGGCAAAAGTACTTTTTTAAAATTACAAAGCACAACACACACAAATATATACAATTCGTCGTTGTTGCTGAGTGCCTACTATTTGTCCGAGATCAGTCATTCCAGGAGGTGAACACATTTAAGCCACGCTTCCTCTCAGAGTTCAAGACCGCTTCAGCTCTTGACTATCATGGATTCTCTTTATTAAAAGTATTTGATTGGGCCAAAGCGAGGTGTATAACGACAGTGAGTCAGATTCTTATTTCTTGGGATTAACCCGTGCTTTCCTCATCTCCAACCACTGGCAGGCGAGAACCATCTGGTTCTTGATTTGTGCCACAAAGAGTAGGAGGCTTCCCGCCTCAGGTCCTGCCACGTGAACTGCATGTTTTACAGCCCTGCTTGGTCCTACAAAGCCTCAGGGGGACTTAGAGCAGCTGTTTCTGGACCAAAATGTGCCCTGAATGTGATATTTTTATAATCCTTTCTTGGACTCTCTTCCTTCCCACTTAGCAAGAATGGGAACCTATCATTTATAAAGGCATTTATTTACTCATCATTTTGAAGAAAAGCCTTTAGAAACTAATAAATCCATGCGTGTATTTGTCCCTATAGTAACAGAAATGGTCTCGGGTTCATAGGTATTCAACGTATGTATTTGCAACAAATGCCTAAGTGAATGAAGGCACGTTCTAGGGTTATATTGTCACATTTATTCCAGAGATATTGCCATTGAGGAAACTATTTTACGCTTATGATCTATTTCAGAAATAAAGATTTTTTTAAAAAAGAGAAAATATTTGACGTTGAAGAGCCAGAAATAAAAATACAAAACCTTTAGAAATGTTATAGCCTGTATAAATCAAAATAAGTAGTCAATCTAGTAAATTCTGTCTTCTTTTATAAAGTCACCTTATTCATAAATGAAATAATTGTTCATAAAAATAGTTTTCAATTGAAATTTTGTGGGTTTCCCCCCGAAACATTGAGCAACTTTTAAACTATATATGTGAGACCTAAATTAGTGAAAGAGATTTCAAACGGAGAGATCCATATTTTAATAGGGTGTACCCTATGACTCAGGATGCAGGGAGGGAAAATAAATAGAACCAAATCATTTCTATCGTATTTCTGTTGTATTTGTATTTCCGTTGTATTTGCCATCAAAGCCCGAACAATGATTCACAGTGAACTGGCAACATCTCACTATCTAGTTGACGAGAGAAATCAATGCCACAGTAAGGGATCGTTCTGTTGATCTTTGTGGCCAAATATACGGCACTCTATTCTTGCAAGATGAGACAAAGTAATGAGCTAAATTTTGTAAAACCACTAGTAGTTCACCGATGACTTAATTAGTGGAGATTACACACAATTTTGTAGGAAAAATATGTCCTGAATCTTTTTCAGGTACTCTGATATAGTTAATTAAACGAAATGGGGAAAAGACTGAAAAAGAATATAATGTGACCTCCATTTTCCTCCCTCTCTCTCCTACTCTCCGTAGGCACCGCTGCTTACTCCCTCTCCTCCCCCTGCAATAACCTGATGTCAATTCTCCTAAAATTCCATTTGCAACTTCCTTCGAAGAGAATCCTTCTCACCTCTGATATACAATTCACCAATAAATATATTCATACGTAAATGCAAATCCTGAACACAACTGGCTTTTAGAACCATATTCTATGTTTGCTTTCATTCATACGTTTTACCTGTTAGAACCTTCCACTTTCTTCTTTGCAATTTCTTTCTCTCGGATTGAAAGGTCTACCTTTCTCCATGACGGTTATTAATTTCCTAATAATTTATTCCTCAAGATTCTCTTAGAATCTTACTTATTAGCATTTTTAAAACATTTACTGTGATACCTTTTCATTTCCCCCAGAGATGACTATTATTTCGTTTTTACAGTAATCCTCTTAGGTAGGTTCTATAATTATCCTCATTTCAGTGATGAGGAAACTGAGGCTCACATAGGCTACATGACATGTCAGTGGTCCCTCAACCCTTGGTGAAGCTGAGGTCAGGACCCATGTAAGTCTAAGCTCTAGCTCTTAATACTACTACATTGCCGTTCATGGATGTTTTCTCCTTGAGTTTAATTCAGCCAATGTGGAGCATATATATATATAAAATCAGCATATATATAAATATATATATTGAAAGAGAGAGAGAAATAGATAGATAGATAGAGAGACAGATGGATAGATAGATAGATAGATAGATATATATAGATATAGATATAGATGCTCCACATTGGCTGAATTAAATATATATACATATACACACACACACACACACACACACGTACAAATATTACTGAAGTAGTCAAAGAGATCTGGCTATCCCACCAATACTAGCTGGGTATATAATCAGTATTTCCTTTATCGATCTAATATTGATAGACAACTCATCAGCTGCCTCTTACCACTAGATACACATCTTCTTTTTAATTGATCCGATTCTATAATAAAAGAAAAAAATACATATGCTTTGCTAAAGTAGAAGAGTAGAAGACATGAATTTAATAGCTAGTTCAGAGGTCCTTTTCGAAGGAGAAGGGCTTTGGTTGTCGTTTGGGCAAAGGCGAGGCTGCTGAGAACATGGGGACGATGCAACTAAAGGGGTAGTTAAGAGGCTGTGAAAAAGAGAGAGAGAAATCTGGATTTCTTATAAGACAAAGTGGGTTTGGGCCAAAAGGATGTGGGCAAAGAAGGGCCATCATACCGAGAAAGACTGAGTTGCTCTGTGGGATAGGGGAGCCAGGGCAATGTCCCCTCTTTGATACATATTTGTTTGCAAGAATCGAAATCCATTTTTAAGTGTGAGGTCTGGTGTGTGTTATGTTCCTTGCCTTGCCTTTCAGATCATCAGTAAAAGTTTTGCTACTGTGATAACCTCAAGTTCACGATCGCTTAGATGGCAGATGGGTTGCAGGATGGGAACAAGGAGAAGGGACTTCGTTCCCTCTTTTGGCGCACACCAGAATGGTGACTTTAAAAAATGGCAACAGACAACAGAGAAGATACCTTCAATGAGAGTAGAAAACAGAGCAGTGGTGAACTCAAAATTATAATCCCTCAGAGAAATATTGGGGAGAGCTTTGAGGTTTTACCAGAATGGGGGTTCAAATCAAGTTATCTTGCTCTAAAAAGACTGGAGAACCCTAGAGGACATCTTGGTTTCACTAGAGAAACTCAACCATCTAACTGTCTCATTTTTTTATTTTTTAACAAAGAATAATGTTATGTTTGCTAGAACCAGGAAACAGACAATGACATAGCCTCTTCTTAAAAGTAAATCTGAATATATCAGCATGTGCAGTCAACGTATATGCTGACTTAAAAACAGCACGCTAAAAATTTTTTGCCTGGTAAACCTATTATTGCCTATAATGAAAGACTACATGCACTAATCACAACATACAGACTTATGTTTGATCACAGCTTTTAAAAAGTCATGATACAGGGATTTTTAGTTGTACTCAACACATTTTTCCTCCAGAAGCCGGATTGGTTGTTCTAGGTGCCGTGAATGATATAAATTGAGCTCTTGCTTGGAAGAAATCTATCGGATCAAGCATCCCTGAGTTTCAGACAGAAACCTCCTCTGAATACATATACCCAAAGGTATGTGGATTTTTATTCATGATTTGGAATCCTTTCTATTGTGCTTATTTCTTTTTCTATATTTCATGTTCAAATAATGTGAATGTATTCTGTATTTCCAATATTTTATGCTGTTAATATTCAGTTTTTTCTTCAGTTGGGCCATAATTAAATTAGACTCTGATTATTAAATGGATTCTTTTACTTTCTAATGCAGCTACACGTCTGTATTTCTTTAAGATTTAGTTCCAAAATCCCAAAGCACTTTTGGAGGCCAAATTTCACAAGCAAATATGTATTTTAATTATTTATCGATTAAGATAAAATAATTTTTAACAGTCTGTGATCCACTAACACGAAAACATTTTATTTAATATCATCAAATAGAACCATCAACTGAAAGTTTTTTCTCATTAATTCAAACTTTAAAAAAAATTTTCGGCGGTAGAAAACGTCAGTGTACTTTCCATAGCCAAAATTTAAGGTCTTTCCTCAGACAGTTTTCAAAGTTAGTCAATAATTTGCACCACAAAGCAAAATGCGTATTTTAGGATGGCCTGTTTTGCTTCATGCCCCAAGGGTCTTACTTCTAGAATAATTACTGTGCCGGTGTGTCAAACAAAAGGAAGATGCCATTGAGTAAATAAGAAATCTTTTAAGCATATGTCATTCGAAATTCACGGAATAATCATAGAATGTTAGCACCATCCTCTCTCCCGTCTATTCAACCACACCCTCTGCTCTACATCTGGAGCTCAGAGATGTCATCTGAAGGTCTTATGGGAAGTCTTTACTGGTGGGAATATCTGGAACTAAAATCCACTCCTTCCTTACTATATTTTGACAAATTCACGTCTTTCTTCAGATGATCGATCTCTGTTTTTAACGGTAGCAATGCTCAGGCGGACTGTACCAAAAAACAAAAACAAAAACAAACAAAACATTTCTGTGTCTCCTGTTTCTAAAACTATCAAATACTGTGCACTTGGATGATCTCCGCAACTTTCAGAGCCAACTCTATTCTTTTAATCATTAATTATAAGCTACGCTTAGCGTCTGTGATTCTACAAGCCGTATGGGTACAGGGAAATGACATGACAAATCATATGATGAGAGATCATTCACGTCCTTAACAGCTTGTTTAGCTCTCAATCTAAATGAAAAGCATCTCTATCACTACTGTGATTCCAGAAACAATGAAATAGGTAGGCTCAGAACTGAGAGCCAGGTATGGGTAAAGTAACCTCACAAAGAATAGTCCCACCCTTTCTGCTAGCACTAGACTAACATGGATTCTGTGAGTTTTATGGAGCATTCGTAATGTTCAATTTTGAGAAGAGATAAGAAAAGTGTGTGTTGACATATTTCAGGGCCATCAAGAAATGGGGACCTGGATTTTGTTTGCCTGCCTCCTGGGAGCAGCCTTCGCTATGCCCGTGAGTAAAACATCCCCTGTATAAGTCAATGTCCAATTTCACAAGCTCGGAAATAAAAAGCGGCCCCGCAGCTGGTAAACTTTAGGGTTTAAAACAGTATGAGCACTTTTGGGTTTAAAAAACACTTTGAAGAGCGTGTTATTTAAAAAATAGATTCTCAGATGCCTCTGCCCAAGTTTCTGATTCAGTACAGACGGGGTGGGGCCCAGGACTCTGCATTTTGACAAACACCGCAAGAGATTCTATCGAAACAACTAGCTTGTAAATATCATTGCCCATCTGTAGGTGGTGGAACCTTTTGGAAGGGATCCTTGAAAAGCCTCCAGAGAAAGTGCTAACTTAGCCTTAGGCAAATACTACCAAGATGCCAGTTTCCTCTAAAACCCAGTTTCTTACAAGTACCCAAATCTCCTCCTGCTTTCCAAGCTGCGCTGCTGTTATCTCTCAGACAGCACGAGTTCTGTGTTAGGGTTCCCTTCCTGAGTCCTCTGCCCGTTCTCAGAGGCCCCAACCTTCGGGTGCACCCGCTAAGCACATGACTTCCCTGCCTGCGCCCACTGCGCGCGGATAGATTTCACACTCAGACGTGCCAAGCACCAGGGAGCGCGACTCATTCTCTCCAGACACAGAGCTTAGAGCACACGCAGGCAAAGCAGGATCCACTTGCTTTTCAGTGGCGTGAAGAGCAGTTGATACAACCAGAAGCCAGCCAAGCTTGCGTATCTGCCTCCTGTCTTCCTCTCTCGCCCACAAGACCAAGGGTCTGTGCTCTGCTTTCCTGACACCCTGCATCATGGCGATTCCTAATACCCCGAGGGGCCTCCGCATTACAAATTCAGCCCTTTGCCCACTGCTCAGTTCAACGCCCCTACTCTCTGAGGGCTTCCATCAGGAAGGTATAGAAAAGCAGTTACTTGATTAAAATAATTCGCACTCAGGTGAGAGAATGAACCTTCTCCTAAAATACCAGCATTTTCAAAGAATAGAGCCTTTAAAAGCTCAGTGTCCGAGAGAGGTGTTCTGCACGATTCTCTCCTGTCCCCCCTCCGGGACCAACCAGAGCTCCACATCGCAGGCATCATCAGTTCCTTGGCCTCCACTTTTGACAGGACAGACAGTCCTGGTTTAGATAATTATTCAGGTTGCTTTTATTTTGAACTTCTAAATGTTTCTGCCATAACACAGTGACAGAGTAATAAAAAGAACTAGCCTAAGCTTCCTAAATCAACTCTCATTTTCCAACAGGATAGATACCGTTTCCACTTCACCTCACCCATCTGGTTCTCATATTCACCAATAATTCACACGTAGTTGTTTCTTTGGTTGTTGCCGATGTGTTATTTACTTTGCATGCCAATTACGAGCAATCTCTTTGCTAGTTAAGCACTTCTCCACCTCCTCATCTATAAGGGAAGGATGGCCAGACCATTCTCTTCTTGTTGGTATTTTGTAATTGTGTAAGAGAAACGTATCTCTCTTCCCAACATGGAGTGAGAAGTAAAAATTTTTACTTCTCCAAGAAGTAAAAATGGTAGGTGGGACACAGCAGGATTCACTGACAACACGGATGGAGGGGTGTCGTCTCAAGATCACTGGAGAATACATGTGTGCTGGTTCCTGCTTCCAGGTCTCCCACCATGAGACTGAGACCTCCAGGAAAATCTTTTAGTTGGTCTGGACCCCTTTAAAATAAGAGAGCTCCTCTCCTACACAGCGTACATGTTCAAGCTAAAAGTAGACCCCAAATATATTCGGCACTATATAGAGTTTTAAAAAGTAGTTTCAGTCTCTCTAATGTGAACAATTGCATATTGACAATCTCTTCCTCTCTCTCTCTCCCTCTTCTCTCTCTCTCTCTCTTTCTTTTTCTTCTCCTTTCCTCCTCCCTATAAAAGCTACCACCTCATCCTGGGCACCCTGGTTATATCAACTTCAGCTATGAGGTAATTTTTCTCTTTACTAATTTTAACCATTGTTTGAGTTAACAATGCCCCGAGCTCTGTAAAGAATAGTGTTGACTCTTCATTCGAGATGTTTCTCAGTCCCGCTTTTTCAGTTCCCACTACTGGCTTCCTCGTTTAAGCCCTGATGAGTCACCTCAAGCCTGCACTGCCCCAGCACACCCCTGCCTCTCTGACTCAGTTTCTCCTCCTCATACGGGTATAAAGTTATCCATCAGAAACAAGCAGTCAGGGGGTGGGGCATGGTAGGGTAGAAGGCGAACTCTGACTGACCAGGTTTATTCTATCCTAGCCCATAAAATGTGGGCAATCAGGGAAGATGTGACTTCAGATCCTTTCGAGCTAGAAAACTCCTGATTCTAAGAAGTTCACTCTATGTGCCTCCCTCATTTGTGTTTACTGAAAGACTAGTGACCAAGGGGTCTATGTGACATTCTGCAGAGCAATGGAAAGCATACTCCCTATGTCACCTGGGGCAAATCATTTTCTCTCTCTGGAACTTTGGTTTCTTTATCTGCGGAAGGGAAATAATCATAACGCCCACACTTCAAAATATTGTCTGGAGAACAAAACAGTTAAGCAATAGAAAAGGTGTTTCATCAAGTATAACTTAGCGAGGTTCATAATTGTTTGTTGTATCGATATCAAATCTACAGTACTGTATGACGCAGTCTCTCGACCTGCAGTGACCCAAGCGTTTACCGTACAGAAAGGGATGAAACTCTTACATCTCTCATAGGTTCAGATGACAAGCTGTGAGTCTGTTCACTCGTAAAAGCTGAGGAAAAATGTTAATGACAATTTGAGGCAAGATTTTCTGTGAAACCTTAAAAGGTTGACCTATGTGACCAGAAAACCTGTGTTTCTAGCGTGCGAGACAGTGTTTCTGCCTCTTTTATGTTCCCATTGTGACATCGCATCAAAATAGAATATGATTAATGTTAAGTCACATTAATTGTTTTGTTTTGTTCTTGCAAAGAAGAGCGGGAGCTGTGGAATTAAACGGAATTACTACTTTTGTGCCTCAGCCAAGCTCACAAACCTCTTTAACTCTCCATGACCTCGTTCGTCTGTGAAAGCGAAGGTGGTGATACTTGCCTCAGAGCGTGTGAGAAAACGAGAAAAATGTGTGTGAGGGATGTCATGTAGTGCCTAACACATCGAAATCACCTGACAAATATTGACCTTATTCTTTCTTCTGTAGAACTTCTATTTTCAGGCTATGAATATTGGCAGGACTGCATTATTGAATGTCTATTTCGCATTATTCTATGTCTATAACTAAATGAAAATAAATGCATTCTAATGTCTCTTTCTCTCAAGGTGCTTACTCCCATTAAGTGGTACCAGAACATGATAAGGCAACCGGTATGTAGCTCTTCTGTTCTTTATTCCCTTAAAATATTAAGCATGCATTTCAATTCCCTTTTCAGTGAAATCACATATCTATGCCACATACTGATACTGACGGGAAATCTAGTTTGTGTAAGATCCTATCTGTGTACACGGTTAGAAATGAATAAATACTCATATCGCCATAATGACAAAGAAAACATTGCTACTTCTCCAGTCGGAAGTCAATGGAGCCGATGGTAAACCTGACTCTTTGTTTCTCACCAGTACCCTTCCTATGGTTACGAACCCATGGGTGGATGGCTGCACCACCAAATCATTCCCGTGCTGTCCCAGCAGAATCCCCCGAATCACGCCCTACAGCCTCATCACCACATCCCCATGGTGCCAGCTCAGCAGCCCGTGGCCCCCCAGCAACCAATGATGCCAGTTCCCGGCCAACACTCCATGACTCCAACCCAACACCACCAGCCAAACCTCCTTCCGCCCGCCCAGCAGCCCTTCCAGCCCCAGCCCGTCCAGCCGCAACCTCACCAGCCCATCCAGCCCATCCAGCCCATCCAGCCCATCCAGCCCATGCAGCCCATGCAGCCCATGCAGCCCATCCAGCCCCAGCCACCCGTGCACCCCATCCAGCCCCTGCCGCCTCAGCCACCTCTGCCTCCGCTGTTCCCCATGCAGCCCCTGCCCCCCATGCTTCCTGACCTGCCTCTGGAAGCTTGGCCAGCAACAGACAAGACCAAGCGGGAGGAAGTGGTGAGTATATCTTGAAGGCACTATGACACCTAAGAAAATGATAAAGCAAAATTGGCCCCCAGAGTTCTAAGTTCTCAAACGATCCAGGGTCTACAGGCCACTGACTCTATTAGTTCCAACATGTGCTGTCATTTTATATTAGAAACGAGTTTATCTACGTGGCTTAGTAATTAAGGCCATAGTTTTTATGGTGAGTTTACATTCTACGATAATTTTTAATTCTACTAGAAGATCTATTACTGAAGCCCGTTAATCTTAAGGTCAACAGTATAAAGGAATATCTGTCCTCCTTATCTTTCAAGTGTTTGACTGGCAAGTCTAGGCTAGATTTGCACTGAAGATTTAAAAAAGGATAATTTTTGAGAGTGAGGGGATGCAAATATTTGAACAGGCTACAAAAGGTAGGTGGGCAATCTCTTTAAAGACCTCAGAGAAGATTCCCTGTCTCTAGTGGTTTTTAATCTAACTTGGAGGAAGCTAAACTAGACAGACCGTCATATTCCTTTTCAGTGCTGCGATTCTATAGAGTAAGCTTTTAGCATGAAGTTTTCCCGATAAAGCACAAGATCTTTCCATTACAGAAAGCTCTTCCAAATGAGTGGGAAATAGCTAATAAAATAAATGCCCCTTATCCATATCCATAAACACTTACTTCTGCGTATATGAGATTTTGTAATTCTACTGTATGTATCTAAATGTAATTTCAAGTTATAAATGCTATTGATTTTCGACTAAGAAGTACGGAGGGGCAAGGTGCAAATGACTTGGGTGGGGAGCCAGGACACCCGGACTCCAGTTCTGGCTCTGCTCTCAAAGAGGAGACAATATTGTCCAAGTTACTTCAAATCTATGGGTGTTTTCCCTTCTTTAAAATGAGAGAAAATGACTAAATCAGATAATTTTCAAGCCTCTGTCCAAGTACAAATACCATAGTTTCCTGATAAAAAAAATGATCACATATGCCATATATTGATTCACAATCATGGCGACTATGGAACAGAATCTTTGAAAACTGATTGTCTCTCAAATAATCCGATACCTATAGCTGATTATTCTAGCCTAAAGTATATATTCCTTCTTTGTACGGAAAATACACGTATTTATCTCTTTATTGATAAATAAGGCCATGAACTTCGTAATGTGTTCACAACTTGCCAGAGTTCTTTATGAAAAGGTAGCTTCGAACAGGTAGTCTGAACTTTCTCAAACTCCTGTGTAAAATCAGAGTATAAATATCGATCGTGTCTTAGAGTTGTTTTATGGAAAATAAAGTGATGAGCTCAGAGCCTGGTGTCCAGGAAGTACTCAAAAAAAGGAAGCCATTGTTATTTTACTATCAATGAATAGTTTTAAGTGTCTTGAAGGCAGGGGCCTCCATCCTGGACACTTCATTTCTAATGACAATGAGATAATAAATAAATTGTGAAAATTATAAACTTAAATGGTGTACATTGTTTTAGCAAAACTGAAGCCATATGCGTTACTATAAATTGCATTAAGAATATTTGTATATTATTTTAATTGTTCCTTTTCTTATTTTTTCAGGATTAAAAGAGCAGAAAATAAAGAGAACTGTAGTAGAAACTTCAGGTGCTTTCAGAATGACACAATGATTTGTGCCTACCATCACTTCACTTAGTAGATTCTGTAACTAAAAATAAGTACCATTAGCAAACAATAAAATGTTTTAAAAATCATTCATGTCTTTGTGTTGAATTAAATTTAAAATTTCACATCACTTGAGAGAATCTATTATAAATGACTCTTGAATGAGGTAGGACTGCTCATTTATACCTACAAGTTGTCTGTTCTTCAGGCGAATGAGTGTTATATTTCTTTTTAGAGAAATTTTAAACGTGCTCTCAAATCTTTTAAAAAACAGAAGTTTATACATTAGTTATAATAGTTGATAAAGTGAAAAATTATAAACATGTACAGTCACTGAGCCTGAACTAAATGAAGGGAAGTTTATGTGAAGAATTCTTTACATTGAAAAAGATAAGCTCTTGAGAAATGTTTATGTCGCAAAACAAATTAAGACCTGGAACACTGGCTTTATATGTGATACCACTATAATGAACAAAATCTGGTCTTTTGATCTTATTCTACTGAAAAAGTTTTTTTTTTTTAATGAAATTATGTGATAAGTATAATAATGTACTGAATTTTAAATTACTAAGGTAATTAGTTTTCCTAAGAAGACTCTTATTAAATGGAGCTTCCAATTGAGAATCACGATGATTTTATATATAATCATTTCTTTCACTTCAGAATCTTTAAGATGATAAATTCTATGGTATAGTCTTCAAAATGTTAACAGATGTATAAATGGACTCAAGACAAGTTTTCTTTCCCACTTATATTTATATTTTTTCCTCCTACACCCACAAAGAACTGTAAACAGTCTTTTTAGGGTTTATATTACACAGCACCCACAGTAACTTTATTCCGGCATTTTTATGATTGAGGCCCCTTAATCATTTTCTGGAATTAATAGACATAACTTTACCGGACGCGGCGCGGGGCGAGGGGGGGATGTGTGTGTGTGCGTGTGTCAATATTCAAGTAAATAACTTGATTTTAAAGAGTTTAGATTCAATAAGAAAGTAAGACAAGTTTCAATCGATCGGCATGGGCAAATTCTCATCAATTTAGTAAATATTTATTAATCATCCTCTAGTGTAAGGCACTATTCCATGTCCTGGCCAAAACAGTAAGTCCTCATCCTTAAGGAATCTAGAATCTACCGAAGGAGTAAAATGAGCTCTTAGATAACAAGAGAAGGCCTAAGAGTAGTAACGCTACGACAGAAGCATAGTCCCAATTCTCTGGTGAATATGGCAGACGTCATTAGCCAGCTGGCTGTCCAGCATCTTCCCTCAGCACTCATTCCTTGTTGACAGAACTGAAATTAACTCGGCATCCGGTCTCCCACGAGCTCAAGGAAAATGAGCCCCCTTCTGTCTTCCAGAGAATGAATGTCACTCCTCCATGCCAATCACGGCATCAGTTACCATAACAGACCATATCCACACCAAATATGGCAGCTATTCTCCTTGCCAGTGATTGGTTTAGGGATGGGTTGTGGTGGAACCTGAATGATGAATGAGTTCGAAAGGGAAGTCCGCTGGGAGAGGAAGAGTTTCTGGAGAAAAAGATTACCCTTTAATTAAATATACATATACTTACACAGGTGCATGTGCACGCGCGCGTGCGCACATGCGCGCGCACACACACACACACACACACACACACGCCAGGAAAATGTGCTGTTCTGTCTTTAGATCTATTTGTTTGATGTGCTGCCTGGAGCTGTGTGTGCCATCTTGTGACCAGGAGTGGCAAATGGAAAGATGGAAAGCTCCTAAGTCCTTGGTGGTATCATTGAGCCCCTGAATCCGGTACCATCTACCTCTAGATGGAAGACACACACTATTCATTTCTCTGTTAGTTTTTTTTTTTTTCCATTGTGGGTCATAACTGATTAGTGGATAATGACATTATTAGGACACCCATCATTTATATCATGCCAGCAAACTGTCTCTTTCAATGATGTAAAGCTTCTATGACCAGGACTATGGAGAATTATTTCATTAATGACATTCTTGGGAGGGGGATCTAATAAATGGAGATAGAAATATATACCCCCGTGTATTCTCAAAAATATATGCTCCCTCACACACTTTGCCTTCCACTGCTCATGAAAATATTGCCATTACAGTTGTTCACACTGAGAAACATCTTGAGGATGTAAGCGATGATGCTATTTGGAGACTGTGCGTGATATCGGAAAGAACACAAATTTTGGACTCAGACTGGAGTTGCTTTCAATTTTTATGATATAAGAGGAATCTCTATTTGGGAAAGTCACTGACAAAATAATTCTCCTTTTATAATAATTCAAATTTTATACACACACACACACACACACACACAGAGACATATATATTCAAATCACATGTTGAATTACAGGGAAAAAGCCAGGCTGTGGACTCTGAAGACTACTCACTATGAAATGAGATGCACTGCACAAGATAATTTTAACAAGGAACTAAAACTTGTGTATTAAATGTCCAAACACGTGTTTGAATGTAATCATTCTCATGGCGGTGTTCTATAACTGACATTCTTCTACCACGTTAAACATTATATATTAACCAGAACCTAGTGTCTTCTGGATGGCCCAGATGGAGACTTATGAACACCATCAGTGAGGTGCATCGCCTTGAAAATTCAGAGGTAATAAGGCTCTCATGCTCATTTTAAATTGCCCCATACTGCTCTCTCGTGCTAACTGCTCCTTTCCGCTCTTGACTATCATTTCTTTCCTGTTGTTGTTGTTCATGTATACTAACATCTTCTAATATGTAGCTTATTTTGCATATATATTCTTTCTAATAAAATAAAGTACATTGGTCTTGGGACTGTTGTTCTGGAAGTTCTACAGTCACTTTGAGAGTATCTTATTTCCTTACTCCCTAGCTATGGCAGATGGCCACAGCTGACAAAATTTTGACATATACATGTCACCACATAGTATGACATAGCTGATGTCAATCGAACGAAACAGAGCGTTTCTAACTCATTAAAACTCAGTCAACGGCCCAAATGTTACGTGTATTTAAATCAAATATGGAAGAAAATCAATAGATACTAATGACCAAGACTCAAAGTCTAGCCTGAAATAAATAGCAACAGTGATCACAAATGCATTAATAAAAAATTCTTAAATCAATAACAAGGCAAAAAGATTATTTACAAAGCTATGTTGTCTTTGAAATGAAGCTAAAGAGACAGATGCAGTTAAGTAAACCACCTGAAGGAATCTCTCATCTCACTATAAGAGCTCCCGTGTCACTAATAAATTTGAAATCTTCTCCGTTCTCATTCACTCTTGGTTAGTGAGGGCTTTAGTATGCATCATTTTTCCAGGATACAAATACACTTCTAAGAATTGCCCTCAGAGAGTCATCAAAATGCATGGAAAGATGTGGAAAGATTCTGTTGACCATAGCATTACCT